TTTACGCTTTACATTTTTTATTAAACTAAAATAACTATTTTTATTAAAAAATCTATCTATATTAACAAAAAAAAAAACTTTTTAAAAAAATAATAATGCTTCAAGACTTTCGTCACTAATTAATAATAAAAAAATTGTTAATAATAATTATTAAATAAATATTTTTAGTTTTCAGTATACAAAGTTTCCTTTACGAAATAAAAAACGTAACTATCTCTCCTTTTTGCAGAAATAGCAGATCTTATTTCAGAAACACATCAAACTACCGATTATGTGTTAGGACCAACCTTCTTGATAACTACTTCCTCCGGAGTCCTACCTGGTGGCCCCCAAAACCTCGACTAAGTGTAAGCTACACCTAGCCACCCCTTCGCTTAGAAACATTTTCAGAAATAACACTACCTTGACGGTCGTGGTTTCTTATGAAAATGTTCACATCCACACAGGCAGGGTTGTTCCGTCCATGTTATCCGTCCAGTTGGTTTCTAACGATAAAAAGGTAGCCTGACGGATTTACAACTTCGAAATAAAAATACTTACTTTATTTCTAAAGCACCAAAAACGATGAAGCCTGGAATCTACGTTGTATACATTGAGCGATCTAATATAGTGTTTTTCAAAAAATAAAAAAAATATGTTGTATATATAATAAAGAAAAGAATAGAGAGTGAACAGTAAAAATATATTTTATATTTTTTGTTTTCGTGTTTTTGTGTTTATTTCAAAAAAAAAAATACAATTTATAATTGATCAAATAGCACATGATATTGTATGATATGCATACTTTTGTTACACTAAAGTACAAATATAGACACGTGTGCGGACAAGTCAAAATTACATTTTTGATCTAGTGTTTTTTTTTCTAGTACCCACGGGAACTGAAAGTTATTTATTGATTTGTAGAAGTAACGTCTAAATATAAATTTTACATATACTAAAATTAGACTAGGGTAAAGTCGCCATCCAAAAAAGTTTCGATTCGTCATGATTAAGATCATGGTAATAATAATATTTAGTAAAATATTAATTGAATTAGTATGTAATGTTTTTCCTTCGATTCTTCAAAATGAAAAATGATCATTACAATTTCGACAAACCAAGTGATTCTTTTAAAAGCATAAAATCCAATAAGAATGAAAGTCGAAATAAAATTATAAAAACTAATCAAGAAAATGCAATTGCACCAGAAAACCTTGTAGAATTTATTTTAATGCTCTTCCGGAAGTTCATAGCTCTGATTATTTATTTGAGCAAAAATTTTTATAAATCTGAATCCGGGACGCAAAAAAGAAAATCATTGAAGAAAACAATGATTCCAATTAGTAACAAATGGATCGATAGTATCAATACAAACTTTGAGCCATTACATAAATTGGAATATTCCAAATACTTAGAAAAACCGTAAACATAATACTTTCTGGGTAATAAATATTACGTTTACTGAAATAGAAACTTTTTTGGGTGGCGATTTTACCCGGTCGTACAATTACTAAAAGCGGACATGTGTACAAACTATTCCCGAATAGGAAAACTACGTTAATAACTAAAGCCAACTTTTCCATGAAGTCCTTTAAATTATAGATAATGATGTTATCAATGGTTAGATAAAATTATTATAGCGATAGTCTGCATCTATAATTAAGAGTAAGTTCGAATCAAACATTTACGTCTATTGGGCATCATATCACCGTAAAATACACTACGATTTTTTTTTGAAAACATTAGATTGTTTTTATTTATGTAAAATAAAACATAAAATACGGGCGTGGCAAACGAGTTTCGGTATTATAGTTTATTATTGACAAATTTAATTAAGATAATAATCGACTAAACATCTTAGCCGTGTCAAAATTATCAACGCAGCTAAGCTTTATACGACTACAATCACATAATGCTTTAAAATTTTAATTAAGATAATAATCGACTAAACGTTTTAGCCGTGTTAAAATTATCAACTCGGCTAAGCTTATAAGTTTTTAATCAACTACAATCACTAGTTATCGCATAATGCTTTAAATTTTTCATCAAACGCGGCCTACAAGCAAATTTGTTTTTAAGATTTGTTCTCTATTAGAAATACATATCAAAATAAATACTAATTTCTTTTTACCTGCATAATTTCTGCATCGGCGTAAACTTGGGACCCTTCAATATTAAAAGTCCTAGCATTATCAAACATTAAGTATACGTCATTCTTAAACTCCTCTGTCGTTTTGTATTCATCGCGGCTTATTTTTTGGCGAATTATATTGACTGCAATAGGATGCTCAATTTGTTCATAATAATATGGGTATTTCTTCCTACTTGGAAGTTCGAGAAAAAGAGTGGCTCTTCTGCGTGTCATTCTATACAATTTTATGTTAAATATTAAATAAACTTGAATACTAAATATACCGTATTATCGTGAAATAACGGGCATGGGTGTTATTTAGAATAATCCCCCGATCACTATATCAAGATCACGGGAGGATTCATTAATAATACCCTGACCGTATGTGAATAGGCGGAAACTTCGTTTCCGCTAATTCCCAACGGATCAGGATATTATTATTACTAATGGTCCGAATTAAGCTTAATTTAGGCCGAAATTCGTAATTTCATCCCTGCGCGTTATTTCGCGACAATATGGTATTAAGTTTGCATACGTACCCATTTGTTTCATCAGTCAAAGTTTCAATATAGTCAAGACATTCTGTAAGAATATTCTTCAGTGATGACTCTTCTTTACTAGGCTTCTTTAGTTTCTTTATGAGAAAAACATATATAAATATTAAACATATCGAATAATGTAACATAAAAAATATAAAAATATTAAAAAATCTTACTAGCTTTAATACATCTTGTGCATCATCATCAATGATTTCGTCCATTTTACGCCCTTTTCCTTTTTTTTTAACTAAAGTTGATGGTTCTATAAAAACTTCAACGTTATCTATTTTACGACTTTTACCCTTTTTTTTAACCGAAGATGACGATTCATTATCGCCTTCGACGCCATCGAATTTGCGCCTTCTGCCCCGTTTTTTCTGATTAGAAATCACTGATAATTCTGTAAGTGCCTCAACAACTGTAGCAGCGGCTTCTTCTGAATCTACAATCATATCAGGCTTACGGCCCCTTTTTTGGCCCGGATAAGATTGTTCTTTAATAGAATGTGATAATTTTCTAGATTTACGCCGAGAAACCCTTGGAGTAGCGTTCGTATCAACAGATGCATCTGCATCTTGCGTTTCTTCCATCTCATCAGCTTCTATTTCACCTACTGTACGTTTAAGTGTTATCCTATTTATAACCCCTGAAGTAGGTTGTGTTTGCACAGTAGGATCTAATAAATCATCAAGCTCATTAGGGTGAGGCGACGATTCTTCAGTGTTAATAGTCTCTCTAAGCTTCTTCTTTGCTTGT